ATTTAAAAAAACCTTTTTTTTTTCTAAAAAAAAGAACATAAAAAAGTTTTAAAAAAATTATATTGAGCTTCATGGGACTGAATCACCACCTTCCCTTACACTCTTCAGTTCAGATTGTAGCCATACTTTAAAAAAAAAAAAAAGGCAAAGAGGATAATGACATTTTTATCAGTATTGTGAATAAACTTGAACACAAATACACGAAGTTCCATGTCATGTCTTCAGTTGTAGAAGTTTTCCCTCTTCAAGGTAAAGCGACCAACTTGAACTTTCTCCAGCAACACGATTCACAGTTATATAAGGGAATCAGTGTTCATGTCTCTGTATATATTTATTTATGTGTAATTTAATGGGATTTGTAAATATGGTGAGTCTGTTTTTTCGCCCTTTTTTTTTTTTTATTTATCTGGTGATCTCGTTTACCTCTTGTTTAGTGGGTTTTGAATCTTCCCTATTAGTTCCTCATGTGGTTCATGGTACTTATTTAGAAATTCAAGGTTTGGGGGATTCCCACCCCCCTCCCGGAATTCATGAGTTTAGCCCTGTTGTAGCATGTTAAAGATGACAATGAAACAGCTGAACAAATAAAAAAAAAAAGTAAAATAAAATTTTATACATAATTAGTATTACATTTAGCTTTTCATTGAATTGAAAAAAAAAAAAAGTGACATTGGACCCTGGAAACAAAAATTTGAAACTTGAGTGGTTTGATAACCCTTCTATGTCTTGTGGGGAGGAAAAAAAAAAAGTTTATTTTGTTCCACTGTCCTCCCTTAAAAGCATCATTTGAGCAATAAATGAGTATTGTCTTTACACCAAGGGTTAGGGATTTTTCCTCTTTCTCTCACTCTTTTTGTTCAGAGTACTCCAAACATTTGGGACCACCTGGTATTCTGTATTTTCACTGGCCATATTGGAAGCAGTTCTAGTTGTATTGTATTGAGTTGTGCTGGCAGTACTTTCCATGCCTGTCAATGTATCATAGTCCTTTGTTGCCCAGATAAATAAATATTTGATACGCTTTATGTCGATTTTTTTTTATTCAGTGGCTGTCTTTACCCAGGCGTATTTTTGTTCTTGGCAGTATTTTTTATTCAGTATGGTTACAGTAATTGAGTTTAACTCTCCCTTGGCAATTGCTCCTTGCAATAAGCAGCTGAACCCATTGTTTCCCTCAAGTATAATAAAAACTTACTTTCAACTTGGAGTTCAGAGCAGGGTATCATTTAGATATTCCACTGAGTCTGTATTCAGACAAATGATACAATAAAACCCAATGTATTCTTTTGGATAAAAGATTGTTTGTACCGCTAAAGGAATGACATACTATCTTTTCCTTACCAGAAACATTAATTTTATTATTAAAAATAAAGTTTTATTTATTTATGTTGATCCTTTAGGTTTTCATTTGCGTTTTGGAAACCCAATCATTAAGGATGACAAGGATAATGGAGAACGGAAGAACAGAAGACCCCCTCCCCCATAACTACTTTGGAATCTGTCTCTGAAGATAGCTGAAATTTAAATTATTAGTTCATTAGCAATAAGGAAATACCCACTTCAACCTGCATTTATTTGCTTCGGCTTCTCTGTGGCTAAGACATGTCAGAAACTTAAACCTGGCTCTACTTTTCTTGGGGGAGAGAAGGAGCCGTGGTAGAAATAGACGTGGGACACAGAATAGAGAGGGCAACTTGTCTCCATTTACTTTAATATTTTACCTGGAGATGAATTTACTCCTGGGCTGTTCTTAAGGAGCTCTGGAGGTAGCAGAGGGGAGTGAGAAATTATGTTGATTCCTGGAATCTTTTCTGCTTACCCCCTTAATGCCAGCCCACCCCCTTTCTATCACCACAGCGCTCCTCCTAGGACCTTTGAGAAATACAAAATGGTCTCTGAGGTGGGGTGTAGAGGGTGGGGGAGGGCTGTGGAGCCTGCCTGTCAGACCACTCCTATCTGTCTTCCACAATAACAGGACTGTGTGCTGAGCTCTGAGAGGAGGGAGGACTTCCTGTCCATCAAGATGGCGAAGTCAGAGCTTTGGAAATTCTTTGCTTTGGAAGTGAGGAGGTTTTTTTTAACTAGAGAAAGGGATTGGTTAAGTGGAAGGTTTATAGGAAGGTCATAGAAAAAGTGTGTAGGTAAATATACCAGGGGAGGGGGACTTAACATCTGTACATGTGGTTTGACATTCTGAAGGACCAAGGAAGCAAAGCATTAGAGAGTGTGCATTTTGCAGTCTTTTGCTTTCTAATCTCCTTATGGAAGGCAGGGTAAAATCAATCTCGACAAACAAACGAGTTGGTGGAGTCTAAATTCTATTTTCCAAAGCCAGAGAATTCATAACAATGGTGGGTTTTTAAAAAAAAAATTCAAATGGAAAGTGTATTCTCAGAACGCAAGGCAGCAATTGTTTTTTAAAGCGGTTATTTATTATTTCCTAGAGAGACTGGTTAACTGTGACGTAGATGTAACAAAATAATGAGGCGAATGAACCCTAACTGTACATACTCTTGACAGAAATGAAATGCACTCAGCATCGTAGCAGGTGAAGTGAAGCATTGTCTATCAGGGCTGTTTTTCTTGGCTGCATCTCAGATTGTGTGGGGGATCCTAACCTCAGGCACAATAGCATTCATAAACAGCCATACATTGCTGCTCTTTCTCCAACGACACATAAATACTCATTTTAAAACGAAAACAATCTTATTAAATACCATTCATTCATATCTGGATTTACAGATGCTTGTTATGTTGGAAAGCCTGAACTCAATATAATCCTTGCATCCTGAGAAAGATAGAAAGGAAATAGTGGGTTAGAACATTACAAGGTCATAATAAACAATGGTTTCCAAATGCAGGGAATTAGTTACTTTTATTCTGTAGTTGGATGATTTTAGGATCATAAATTTGTCCCTCTTTTTCTTTTTTTAATAAAATTTTAAAGAATATATATTCCATATACATGGAATATATACATGTATATAAATTAAAGGAGATTATATATATATATATATGGTGGGATTAGGGAGGTTGTTACCAAAAATAATTTTTACTGGACTAACCAAAGCTAATGTGGATTTTGACTTTCTCTGGTGACCATTGTATACTTCCTAAAGCACTTGGTGATTACTTGACCAGCCAGGTGTTTATATATTAACAACAGTGATTCTCTTTGGATTAAATCAAATTAGGAATCATAGTTGAATTATCAAGATACTCACTAGGCTATGCTAATCACCATACTCCATTTTTCTGGAAACACAATGTTCTTTTCAGCTTGATTATCATCCTTGCCCCTTCTATTCTCCAACACCCTTTAAAAACCACAATCCGACCCATTCCTCCCCAAAATCGAATATTAATATAATTTGTGTTCTTGATGGAACTACCATCAGAACTGCTATGCCCCGCAGCTGAAATAATATTTAAAATAGAAGGGATTTGACATTTGAGAAGTCAGTGGCTTGAAATACCCAGTTGTACTTAGCTAATTCAGTCCTTAACCTCTGGTTTCAAATAAATCAATTACAGTCGATTCCACTTCAGTTCAGAAGTGCACAGGGTTTTAGTTAATTGAATACATTTTATTCACTTGCTAGGAATATTCATTTATCAAAATTCTAAATTTAATGTACATTTCTTTATAACACAGGTTATGTTAGACCGCACAATCAGATCCAGTTTGCCCCGATTTCCCCAAGTCCTGCTTCAAGTCCAAATTTTACCATTGTACAAAACAATATCTCCCCACTCTTTTTTCAGCCAGAAGTAAATTTTCAATAATTCTGTCAGGCAGGAGAGTTGATTTCCCCCACAAAGAAAAAAAATTATATGTGGTCATCAGATTTGTGTTAAGTTTAAGTATGTTAAGAACAAAGCTGGATTCATTAAGTTTTTAAAAAGTATAGACCTGAAATTAAAAAAAAACAACCCGCATGGTTTTCATTAGAGCTTAACTTTGTTGCAACTGACAGGTATGACAACATTTTGTGGTCTTAAAGTCACAGGACCCTTTTCTTAACCCTCTTTTCCTCTGTTTCTCACCCTTGGGCTCTTGGAGTAGTGCTTGAATAAATACCAAATTGTTAACTGAAAGCAGTACAGTTAAATGTGCCCAAATGAAGTTGTGCTTTAAACAGATATTGATGTATGCAGTGTTTTATATTTATTGTTTGTAGCATCCTGCTGGCAGCAGTTTACTGTTTGGAAAGGAAAGGGGTTAATTAGCGTCATTATCAATCACTAATGCTTGCCTAACGTGTCCAAAGAATAATCAAGTTAGAGGACGGCATGAAGCCAACAGCTGCTTCATCCCAGTTACAGATCTCCTAAGCCACTCAGTTATGGGGCGGAGGGGATGTGAAGTGGGGGAAGAATCTCGTCATCGCTTGGGTAAAAGGGCTATAAAAATCGGGTCAACTTGCTGGAGATCAGAGAGGCAGAAAGTACAACATAAATAACCAGTGTTTTCATCCTCTGAGTTACAGGTGCAGAGATGGCAGCAGTCCTGAGACAAGAGTACTGAAATTTGCTCTTTAAATGTACTTCATTATTTAAAGTAGAGATTTGAAGAAACACATCTAT